TCATGGTGACAGGGACTATTTCATTAAGTGGGACTCAATTGTGTTAGACAAAGACCTCCAATATGAGGAGGAATCAGTTGCAATTTTTGGTCGTGATGTGCGTAAGTTGAGGACCAAGGAGATTAAGTCGGTGAAAGTTTAATGGAAGCATCGTACAGTTGAGGAAGCTACTTGGGAAACCGAGAGGGACATTCAAGACAAGTATCCCCAATTGTTCGTCGATTCAGGTACTACTCCATTCTTTCTTTAACCTATTTATCCTAAGTTTGTCACTCGGGGATGAGTGAGGGGTAAATTGGTATCTATTGTAACGATTGGGTTCCTTCGTTATAGAAAAGCCAACGGGGAAAGATTTTTGGGTCGGAAAACTTTTTTGTAGTAACTTAGAATTTCCCAACCTAGTCAAGATTTGGACAAAATCTGAGATATTAACATCTAGGGAAATCTGGTAACAATTGGGTGATCTAATTATGAATTTGATCATATGAGTAGATAGATAAGTCATTAAGGAACCCGTACGACCTTATGGAATTGAATTCGGGCGAGTAGAACTCCCAGAATTGATCCTAGTGTGAACGAGTAGTTTTTGAGTGTCGTTGGTAGAAGGTGTGTTGTGAAATGATGGTCTTGGAATTATTAATTTTGCTCACTGGTTCCGTGCAAGCCGCTGAGGTGGAATTCTTCCCGCCAGGGCAGGGCCGCTGTAGCGGGGAGGGTGCCGTTGTGGCGGGGCAGACGCGACTTAAAGTCAAAAATAAACCTCAATAACATTTTATTCTTCCATTTTAGAACTTGAGAGCTAAGGAACAAACCCAGGGGTTTCCTTGACAGTTTTTCACCATTCTTGAGGCTAAAGGTAAGATTTTAACTCTCTGAATCCATTTTTCGATCAATAGAACGTAATCTAATGGGTAATTATCGATGGGGAACGTTTTTGGTCTTGAAATTATGGTGATGAATGCTCTAATATGGGTATAATCTAGGGTTGATAGAATTTTTGGTAATCCGGGTAATTAATACCCATTAAAAACATTCAAAGTTCCAATATTTTTAGGACAAATTCACACTGAAATAAACATGTTTGGCACGTGGGTGAACGAACCCAACGTTATGAAAGTCTCACATACCTCGTAGGATCAAAACCTTGGTGAAATCCGCAATCAATTCCTCAAGAAATCGACGAATCTAGACCTTTTCTTCTCCTTTCTCCTCTTGAGTTCTTTCTCTTAACACCCTAGCATTATTTTGCAATTGTGTGAACTGAACCCATTCAGTTTAGACCCTAATTAAATAACTAAAAATGAATTAAACCAATTGCGTATGGAAAAGACCAAACTACCCTTTTAAAATCTGATTTTGACTTTTCTTATATAGACAGCCCGACTTCCAATGAGCAAATCTCCCACATAAAAACTCGAAAATGAGCATACTTGGTGGTGTTGGAAATATTATTCAAAGATCTTTCCTACGGTATCTTGTAGGACACTTAACTCAACCTGTGCTAGGAGTTATGGTCCTTTGAAGTTGACCCAAAACTCATACTTAGCTTAACTTGCCAAATTTCAGATTTTGCTATTTACAATTTAGTTCTTTTTGGAACTGAAGGTGCTACATCTAGTGAGCTTAACACTCAAAAAATTTTAAATTCCTCGGTAGAATCCTACTCACAACGAAGAATGATTCGAGTATTAGCTCAAAAATTTCTGGAGTGTTACAGCAATAATATATTTGAACCTTTGTTAATAATTAGTACTATTACACACAAAGTTACCATAACTAATTTGCATCTAAACAAAAATACTGACTTGCAATATAAAAATTATAAAAACTCAAACTAAAGAAGTTACATGGAGAAAACATAAACACACACATCTTCCTTAGGACTCATCATAAGAAAATAGATTAAAAAAATAAGAATACAAAATCAGTGCCCACTTTTTTGAGCTCTTGTCTGACACCCTCTTTGAGAAACTAATTAATATTCTTCTTCATCTTGTCAAATTAAAGCATGAATTTGACATAATAAAATACTACAAAGAACAATGAAATATAAAGAATAATCATAAGTTGAGATTTCATGATACAAAAACTTGTGAATTTATATATATATATATAAAAAAGGAGAGATATCATAAAGTATCTTAAATTTTATAATTTACTAGTTGGAGGTTATGAATATGAAAACTTAAAAGTCATTAAGAATAGAAATTTAATAGATTTAAGTTATGAAAATGAAACTTAAAAATTAAATAAATAAGAACAAAGACAAATAAAGAAGATTAAAGAAATACATTTATATTATATAAAGATATAAATTTCTTGAATTGAATAAATAAACAAAAGAAGTGAAGAAAGAACAAAGAAAGGAAAGACCACTAAAAAAATAAATAAAAACCATAAAATTAACTGTCGTGAATAGTTTGTTGGATGTTTTTAAAAATCAAATGAAAAGGTTTGTAATACTTGATGAGAAATTGAGAAATAGTTAGGAAAAGAGAATAATAGCATTAATGACAAAATAAATTAAATATGACTATTGATAAAGATATAATTAAATATGATTATCTTTAAGATCCAGAAAAGAAAACATGGTGGAGAATAAAGGGGAGATTAAGCAAGGTGAAAACAATAATTTGAAAGAGCAAAGCAGGATGAAGTTTGAGGAAGGGGATAGATATCATAACTGAGGTGGAAGGAGAGAACATGTATGGCATCCAAGGAAACATCCAGTGAAGGATCATAATGTTCAAACACATAACATGTATGAAGCTTTGGGGGAGAATAAAGAAAATGAAGAAGGGGAAATCAGTGTTATAAAAGAAGTGGAGGAAGGAAAAATCAGTGAAGAGAAAAGAAGAGTCGCTGATCAATATGAGTCACAAAGTGGAGGAGGGATAGACAGGGATAAAATAGAGGAGCAGAATAAAGAAAATAAGGATCGTGATGAAAAGAATGAAGAGGAGAAAAAAGATAGTCAAGAAAGACAGGAGCATGATATCATGGGGGAAAATCAATCAGGAGAAGAATCGAATGAAGGTGATCATTTAATCAAGGAGAAAGACTCAAATGAAATAGGGACATCAAGTAGTACAAATAACTCACCAGAGGATTCCCAGAGAGAAAAGAGACAACAACAATTTAAAGGGGTAAGGGGACTGAATGAAGGGGTAAAGTCAGGAAAATCACCTTATTTAGAGGGAGAGCTACCCCCCCAAAACCCATATCACTAAGCAAGAGGAAAAACAACATCAACAAGATACAGAGGAGGAAGACAACATGGATGCAAATATTGACAGTATAGGCAGAAGTGGAGACTTATCACCAAATCAGATAGAAAGATTAAAGGGAAGAGACAAAAGAGGATCCAAGCATAATCAGCCGTCACAAATAAAGACAAGGAGTAGGATGGGGTCTTCATTATCATCACATCAATGATAGACAAAATCCTTTTTTGGAACATCAGGTCGGTTAAAACTCAAAATGCTTTTGAAAGAGTAGTCGACTTGAACAACAGACATCACTATTCATACATTGCAATACTAGAGCCTTTCCAAAGTCCCTCCAAACTGGAAAATTATAGGAGAAAGCTGGGATTACCACATACTAAGGCAAATTGCTCGGATAAGATTTGGGTTTTCTGGGAGGACGATTGGGAGGAGGAAGGTTCAACAGATACTTTTCAACAACTCACTATGAATTACAAATTAAAAGGCACACAATTTAGATTTTCTCTTACAGCAGTCTATGCGAGGTGCAGTGCGATAGAAAGATTAGAGCTATGGGAGGATTTGGATTTTGTGGTAAACGCAAACTAGATTGTACCTTGGATGGTTGGGGGGGATTTCAAAACAATAGTGGATGGCACGGAGAAATTGGGGGGTCTACCAGTGTTTCTTTTTGAGACACAAGACTTTGTTCAATGTATTAATAATTGCGCATTGAATGAGTTGAAGTTTATAGGTAGTCGATATACTTGGTGGATTGGGAGAATCGAAGAAGCTTGCATCTTTGAGAGACTTGTTAGGGTTTTTGGGAATAACATTTTGATGAATCTTGCACCGGAAAGTGAGGTCCACCATTTAATAAGGCACGGATCAGATCACACACCACTACATGTAAGGTGTAATTCTGATCAAGAACCAGTCAGCAGGCCTTTCAATTTCTTGAATTTTTGGACCAAACATGTAGATTTCAAGAAGATAGTAGAGGAAATCTGGAGGAATTAGATTGAAGGATCCCCTTTTACCATTTTTCATACAAAGATGAGACGACTAAAAACAGTACTGACGCAGTGGAGCAAAGAGACATTTGGGAAATTTTTTCAAAAAATTGCAACTTTGGAGGATGTGATTAAAGGAAAGGAGGTGCAATTAGAATTAGCTCCTACATAGGCCAACAGAGCTGAACTCAGCAGGGCTAATGCAGAATTAAAGAGGTATCTGAAGATGGAAGAAGAATTTTGGAGGCAAAAGCCAGGAATGAGGTGGTTCACAGATGGGGACAGAAACACAAAGTTCTTCCATGCATATCTTAAAGGGAGAAGGAGGAATTTCAACATTAGAGAAATCAAAACTATACAAGAGGACACTATTAACTCACCTCAGAATATTGGAGAGGAAGCAGTAAATGTTTTTAGGGATAAGTTTAAGGAAACACAAGAGACAGTAGACTTTTCAATGCTTCAGTGTATCCCAAAAATGATCACAAAAGAGGAGAATAGAGAAATGGAGAGGATACCTACAAAAGAGGAGGTGAAGCAGGTGGTTTTTAACTTAAATTGAGATAGTGCGAGTGGGCAAGATGGTTACTCAGGCCATTTCTTTCAATATTGCTCGGAAATTATTGGGGATGAAGTATGGAACATGGTAAGGGCCTTTTTCAGTGGTTTTGAGCTACCAAGATACATAACACACACAAACCTGATCCTAATTCCAAAGAAGGAGGTGGTGGAGAATTATGGAGATTTAAGACCAATCAGTTTGAGCACTTTTGCCAATAAGATCATCTCAAGATTGATACATGAGAGAATCTCAAAAGTGCTACCAAGGATTATATCAGTGAATCAGTCGGGGTTTGTTAAAGGGAGGAGCATAACTGAAAATGTTCTCCTAGCTCAAGAGATCATAAGAGATATTAACAAGAGAAACAAACTACATAATGTGGTTGTGAAACTTGATATGGCAAAGGCCTATGACAGAGTCTCTTGGAAGTATCTTGTTCAAGTCATTGGAAAATTTGGCTTCTCAGAAAGAGTGATTGACATGATAGTAAAGTTGATTAGTAACAACCGGTATTCGATACTCATGAATGGGAAGTCTTATGGTTTCTTCCAATCATCAAGAGGGCTGAAACAAGAAGACCCACTCTCACCTACTTTGTTTATTATTGTAGCTGAAGTTTTGGCAAGAAACTTAAATGGTTTATTTGAAGAAGCTGAATTTGAAGGTTTTGGGCTTCCAAAATGGAGCCCCCAAATTAACCATTTATCTTATGCAGATGATACTATACTTTTTTGTTCAGGACAACCTAAATCAATGAGGATGATGATGCAAGTACTAACAAGATATGAGGGTGTCTCTGGTCAACTGATAAACATTAGCAAGAGTGTGTTTTATCTACATGAAAAGGTGCCAATAGGGGTATGCAATAAAATAAGAAGGATTACAGGGGTCAAACAAGGTAAATTTCCATTCATTTACCTAGGATTTCCTATATTCTATGGCAGGAAGAATAAATGTCACTTTGAAGAGTTGATCAGAAAAGTAGCAAAAAGAATGGCCCTGTGGCAGAATAGGTTTCTTGCATTTGGTGGAAGGTATGTTTTAATAGCACATGTTTTACAGTCAATGTCAATGTACTTATTATCAGCAATGAACCCTCCAGCTTGTGTCATAACTCAATTTCATAAACTGCTAGCAAGATTTTTTTGGGGAAAAGTTAATGAAGCCAAAAACAAACATTGGGTGTCATGGGACTGCTTGTGTTATCCAAAGGAAGAGGGAGGTTTGGGTTTTAGATCATTACATGATGTATCAAATACTTTATTTGCAAAGTTATGGTGGATTTTTAGGACTTCAACATCCTCACTATGGAGTAGCTACATATGGAACAAGTATTGCAAGAAATATCATCCAATTATAGCTACAGGATGGGGTTCATCACATGTGTGGAGGAAAATGATTGTGGTAAGGGAGGAGGTAGAGCACAACATTTGGTGGCAGATAAAGGCAGGAACATCAAGTTTTTGGTTTGATAACTGGACAAAATTAGGGGCAATTTATTATACTGAAAGTGGAAGTTAGGGAAGAAGAAATTGAAGTAAAAGACTTTGTCATAGAGGGAAGATGGGATGAAGAAAAACTAGTTGAATACCTGTCTACAGAAATGGTGGAGTATGCTAAGGATAACATAATTCCTCCTAATAGGGAGGATCAAAATGATAAAGCTTGGTGGATGGGAAGTACACAGGGAGACTTTACTGTAAAATCAGCTTGGCAGATAGTGAGGAAAAAGAAGGAGATCACAACTGATTTTGATTTTATATGGAATAAGGGTTTGCCATTTAAGGTGAATTTTTTCCTATGGAGGTTATGGAAGAGGAGGGTCCCAACTGATGACAATCTAAAGAGAATGAAACTTCAACTAGTATCAAGATGTTGGTGCTGTGAGAAGAAAAAAGAGGAAACAATGACACATTTATTCCTAACAGCCTCCATAGCCAATAGACTATGGAAGCAGTTTGCTGGTTTTGCAGGTATACACATGGATGGGATGCATTTGGAACAATTGATTATTGCATGGTGGACACAAAAAACCTCACCACAATTGCAAGGAGTTATGAGGGCTATGCCAGCTATAATCATGTGGACTTTATGGAAGGGGAGAAATAATCTGAAACATGGAGGGAGCTTAACCTTCAATGGGGTGGTGATGCAAGTGCAAGATATGGTTAAAAAGCTAGTGAAAAGGTTATACCCTTGGATATATTTGGAGTCAACCCAATGGTCATATATAACCAGAAGACTGAGGAGGTACAAGCCAACGCTACACTATCATAGTGTGGTATGGAGACCCCCTGACTTGCAAAAGCTGAAATGCAATGTAGATGGAGCTTCAAAAGGTAATCCAGGACCAAGTTCATATGGATTCTGCCAAAGGAATTCACAAGGGGATCTGATTTATGCAAGAGCTGCAGGAGTAGGTAATACCACTAATTTTGAGGCAGAATCATTAGCAATTTATGAATCATTCGAGTATTGTTGGGAAAAGCAGTTAAGAGAGGTCATAATAGAAACAGACTCATTGACTCTAGTGAAGATGATAAGGGGACAATGGAAAATACCATGGGAATTGGTGGAAAGAGAGGAAAGGATCAGGAAAAGGTTACAAGGACTAAATGCTACTATTATCCATACATTTAGAGGAGCTAACGGTGTGCCAGATCTACTGGCAAAATAGGTCGTGGAATCGCAAAATATAAAAGAGTATACAGCCTTTGTGGATCTACCAACACACCTCAGGAGACAAATAAACAGCGACAAAGCACAAATACCAACTTTAAGAATCAGGACAAGAAAGATAAACATTTAACATTAAGGATAACATAAGCACCAACATGGAGGAAATCATTAAGATGTCAGCAATAAATATGAAATGAGCTTATTTACAACACAACAACAGAAAATACAGAACAGAACCTACGAAATTAGGCCCAAAAACACGAAGGTAGGGAGTATTGAGCTAGAAGATCAAACCATGGCTACCAGAAACCTTCACAGCATCACAGAGAGCTCCAATCAGTGTTTCTTCAGCCCATTGCGAGTAAACCCAGACCATCTATCAGATGAAGAATTGATTAGGGGAAAACAAAATGAAAACAACTTTAAAATGAGGGGAAAAGAGATACCAGATATCAACTTCTACCATGGCAAGACAAGATCGAGCTCGAAGAGAAGAAGGGAAAAAAATGGGTTTCAGGCAAAAGAACGTCACTTGAGGAAAAGGAGGTGGAGAGCTCACTGAACTAATACTTTCCTAATAGGGATAGACATAAGCTGATTTTAGGAACTTAAATGTTATTTTAGGCCTTGGGCCATTGTTTACTTTGATAACTTTGTTTAATTAATAAAAGGTCTCTGGACCAAAAATTGCTTTAAAAAAAATAATAATGTTCTTCAAATTTTTATGTGATTTTTTTGTATTTTAAAATTAGAAAAAAGACCAAAAAAACCACAAAAAAGATAAATAGAATTAAAACTCATAGAGAGTGTCACATCACCCTTTTCATATTCAGCTTTATTATTATATATATAGATTTGTTTTTTATTTTTTTGACACTTGGATACATTTAGTTATCAATACATGTATTCTTTTTTATATACTTGGATACATTTTGATACATAGATAGTCTTCGTTCCAGTTCTCCGAATGTTTGATTAAAATTGTAATGCTTGTCATTATTCTCTCTATCTAATAATACAAATATAAACGATACTTAACTATCACTTCATCGATATAAGTAAAAAAATGAATTCATCTAAAATCAATTTTAAAAATATCTATATCAAATCTCACGAAGAAATTATTGTTTTAAAAAAATGCTCCAAATTTGGAACTGTATAATAGTATACTAAAAAAAATCAATACATAAAATACAACGGTATTACCATAATACATATAACTATGTACGATAATAATGAAAACTATAGCTAAACAAATATGATAACCCCTACACTATAGTCATTTATGTAAGTTTCTCAACGATTAATTCAATTTTATTAGTCATCTTATTTTGAAGACTTAAATAGTTACTTACACAACAAAATAACCAAAATGTTGATATTGCATAAATTTCTTAAAATAATCAGCCAAACTGAACCATTAACATCCCTTTTCTATAAATTAAATAGGACTTGTAGAGTTAAATTGCCTTATAGATCAACCTAAGTCAAAATTTCTTATCCAATATAACTCAATTATTGTTTATTACAAAAAATGACCATTCCTTGCCCATTTTATTATTTTGTCCATGTAACGACCTGATTTCCGTTGTTAGAGAAAAATCAATGGAGAAAGAATTGGGGCCAGAAAAAATTTTCGTAGTAACTTGAGATTTCCTAGCCTAGTCCAAATTTGGACGAAATCAGAATCTTTAAGGTGTAGGGAAATCTAGTAACAACCAGGTAACTTAATTATGATTTTGAATACATGAGTAGTTAGATAACTCGTTAAACAACCCGTACGACTTTACGGAATTGAATACGGGCGAGTAGAACTCCCGTAATCAATCTTACCGTAAAGGGTATTTTATGATCGTAGTTGGTTAGAGGTGTGTTGTGAAATGGGGGTCTTGGAATTCTTTAAATAGATCACTGGTTTTGTGCAAGCCGCTTTAGCGGTATTATTGTCGCTCTGTCGGGGCCGCTACAGCGGGGTGAGGGCCGCTGTCGCAAGTTCGACGCGACCTAAAGTCATAAATAAACCCTTAAACGACCTTATTTGGCACTTTTCAATTTTTAGAGCTAAGGAACGAACCCTAGGAGACTCCTACTCATTTTTCACCATTGTTGAGGCTAAAGGTAAGTTTTTCACTCCCCGAATCCATGTTTTGATCCATAGAACGTAATAGAATGGGTGAATATTGATGGGGGAGGGTTTTGTTATAGATTCTATGGTGAAAAAACCCTATTTGGATAATTGGGATCATGGGTTTGATCTAGGGTTCATACAATTGTTAGTAATTCGGGTAATTAGTAATTGTTTATTGATTCCCGTATTATATTAATTTTTTGTAGACCAAAAACAAGAGGAACAAATCCGGAAAGAGAAGGATTAAGTTTCTTAGGGTTTCTAGCTGGTTTCGAGGTAGGTGATGGTTGTGATTCTATGATTGTGTGATGTATGTTTGTTCTTGCTTCATTATGATACATATATGTATATAAATGTTGCATTAATGATCACACTTGTAGTAAATGAGATAGATGAATGATGGTTACCATGAAATCATGACTTAAATTTATGATCTTAGGGATATATTTGTGATTGTGATTGTGGTGTGTTGAATCGATCGGTTACCACGTTCCGGCATAA